GCCCCCCCACCCCCCCACACCTTGTGGAGCATATTCCCAGGGCAGAAAGTTTCCTTCCAGCCGGGTGTATCCCGTGACCCCCACCAGCCCCCGGGAGCTCAGTCCTGCCTTGTTGCCAAATCTCTCTCCAGTGTCAACAGTATGGGGATAAGGATACTGTGCACCATATTGCAGAATATGGAAATTAATGTGAGATCCCTGTCAACACTGCAATGGTTAGGATACGCAACCTTCTGCTATACGTCTCGGCACTCGGGACTCATAGATATCGGCTTCTTGCGCTATTGGGGAATCCTCCTCTGGGATCAGCAGCACGGGGTATGATACACATCACAAGGTTTGCCAGCCGTCTCGAATCCTCCATGTTTGGCATTTCGAGAGCCTTTCTCCTGGGTGATCAATTCTGCCTTATTGGAGAATCCCCATGAAGGGGAGCATTATTGGGGCCAGGATATACAGATAACCACAGGATTTCCCAGCTCTCCTCTAGCATAGCTCCCAACCCTCAGGCTGGGCAGGGGAGAATTTTCTCCTCGGGGATGGGTGCCATGGGACATTGGGTACATGGGAGGCTGGCTGGAGTCCCATGCCTAGCTATAATTAGCCGCAGAGCCAGCTGGGAGCCTATTTCCCTCTGATCAGACTCCGGCTCCGAAGGACATCTGAAAGGTCAGCGTCACTGCACAACAAGTGCCCCACAGGTAGGAGAGGGCTGGGAGGGGGTGAACCCCCTGGGGAGCAGGCAGGGATCCAGGGGAGGGGTTCCCAAGGCAGCACACAATGCACAGCAGACAGACATGACAACACAAACACACAAATGCATGCACCCAAACACATAAGCATGCTACATCCACCAGAAAATCAAACAAATCCAGCCCACACAAGCCTCAGAAAACAAATACACCACAAATATGTACAACACAGACATGGCCACACACAGCACAAGCACACATGTACAACACAACAAATGCGTACGCCATGAGCATATGGACTATGCACAGCAGACATACACAAAAACAAATGCATGCACAGACCACCACCCTCCAAGCTATACACAACACACAGAAAACATACCCAACGCATCCACATACCATACACACACACAAAACTACATATATCACATATACACACTTAGCACACAACAAATACACACTCATGAATATACAGACCGGATATAAAGTATCATAACACACACGTATATCCAAAACAACAAATACAGGCGTACACCACACAACAAATACCTCACAAACATCCAGGCCACGCATAAACATGCCCATACATAGCCACACAAAAAATACACATCAGGAACATTTAGACCCCATTAATACACACAGGCATGTCTACACGTTCAATTAATGCTCTTCAGGTAATGAGCATTAAATCTAGTACCTCCATTGTGAGGTATTGGAAAAAGGCCCATTAGCCTATTTTAATTAGCCCATTTCAATCACGTTAGCTAAAGAGCATGGTTTTTGGGGGGACACTTGAATGCACTTTAAAAGACACTAATGCGTATTAAAGTGCACGTGTAGATGTGCCCACATACCACACCAAAAATACACACACGATTCAGCGATTATATAGACGCATGAGCCTCAGACACAATTATCTACACATGCCTCACACAATATATCATGCTTAGCTCAGAAACTACACAATAGTACATAATACAAGGACCCCCCCACACACACAACACACACCACACACAGTAGATGTTCAGTGATAAAAAAAAAAAGGTTTAAGCTCCTAAGGGTGCCATTTCTTACCCTGCCTCATTGTGGTTCACAGAGTAAGGAAAAGGGCACAGGGCCTTTCGCATCCTTTCCCGGCAGGTGTCTCCAGGCAGGGAGGATGTGGTCAGGTGTGGGACCGGACTCTGCACCAGGGGAAGAGGAGGAGGAGGCCACGTCAGAGCCCCGCAGGGAACTGCTGAACAAGGACCATGCCCGGCAGTTCTTCGAGGTGGCGCTAGAGCTCTGCGCGCAGAACCAGCTGGTGGATGTGGACGTGATCTCGGGCTCACGGACATACCATGCCCATGCTGTGGTTCTGGCAGCTGTGAGCTCCTTCTTCCGAGAGCGGCTGGAGCAAGGGGCAGTGGGTGAGGTTGACATGAACCAGCTGGCTACACCGCATGGCTGGAAAGCCATTCTGGATTTTGCCTACTCAGGGGTTGTGGAGACCACATCAGACACTGCTCAGGAGGTGGTGGCTGCAGCTCAGGTCCTGGGGGTGCCACGAGTGGTGGAGATTTGCCAAAGAAGATGGCTCAGTCCAGAAAAAGAGGAGGAGGAGGAGGAGGAGGAGGAGGGGAAGGGAAGGAGGACCCCATCTGATGAGCAGTGGGAGACCCTGCATAGCATTGAAGAGCTATATGGAGATGAGATTGGCTGTGACCTGGACCTGGAAGCTCAAGGAAAGACTTTCAAAGGTGAGTTGGGGAGGGGGGCGCTGCAGGTAGGGAAGGAGCCCAGAGCTGGGCTAGGAGGATGGCTGTGGTGGGGTCGCCCATCCCTAGCCCTCGTCTTCTCTCCTCCCCCAGTGCACCGTGTTGCCCTGTGCTGTGGCTGCGAGTTCTTCCGGGCCATGTTCACCAGCGGGATGCGGGAGTCAGTCCAGGCCACCCCACTCCACACCCTCTTCTCGGCGCCGGACCTCCACCTCCTCATCTCCTTCGCCTACTCAGGAGCACTAGGAGGCACCTGGGATGAGATCCTGGATGCAGCACAGACTGCCCTGCAGTACCAGGCATCAGGCATCTTCTCCCTCTGCCTGGACCTCTTCCAACACCAAATGACCCCGGAGACCAGCCTAGACGTCCTGTCCTTTGCCCAGGCCTATGACCTGCGCCAGCTGGTCCGGACAGCTGAGGACTTTGTGCTGATGAACTTTCCCTGCGTCTCGTCCACCCCCAAGTTCCTGGACCTCTCTCTGGACCAGCTTCTGTGGTTCCTCCACTCGGACGCCCTCTACATCCTCAACGAACTGGAGGCCTTTGAAGGTGCCCTGCGGTGGCTGAATGCCGACCGGGCCCAACGCCTGGGGGAAGCTGAGAAAGTCCTCAGATCCATTCGGTTCCCCTTGATGTCCGGGCGGGAGTTAAAGCGGGTGCGCGCTGTGGATTTCATGGCGAAACCAGGCCAGTTCTATGACCTGCTGGTGGAGTCACTCTCCAGCATCCCGCCCGGTAGGCCCACTATGGAGCGGCTGCCGTGCCGCATCCGCACCACAGAGAAGGTGCTGGTCATCTGCGGCGGAGACAGCCTCACGTCAAACATGGCCATGCGCTGCCCCAGCCGGGAGCTGTGGTTCGCCCACCGCTTCATCAGTGGCGTTGGGCTGGTGAAGCAGGTGGAGTGGCGGTACTTGGGGGAGTTCCCCGACGGGCCACGCTTCTGCCACGCCGTGGTCGTGATGGGCAACATGCTGTATGTTGTTGGAGGCAAGCAGTACTATGGGGTGAGGGACACACTGACCACGGCGTTCAGGTGAGCGGGAAGTCCGTACAGCGCAGGGACTTTGCCCTCGAGAGGGTGCAGGCTCCAATCCAGTCCCATGGCAGGAGACTCGGCTGGCTCAGGGGGTTAAAGAAAGGAGCACGGGCCCTTCCCTGTCCAGAGAGCCCCGGTTTTGACACAGTATTAAACTTTGGGGGCTCAGGATGCTGAGGAATGTAGCCTGGCACCTTCTCTGTCAAAGGGTGCCAACTTTCATCTGACCCAAGGATTTGCTGGGAGGTAGCGGAAGAGGAGACCCCTTTTCAGCGGGTGTTGCTCCTGATACTGTCCCCAGGCAATGGGGGACAGCTTAGCCTAGGAGATGAGGAGTGGGGCTGTTCCCTTGCAAGGGGTGCCAGTTTCAGTCCTCTCCTTGCTTTAGGTTTGACCCCATGCAAGGCTCCTGGGAGCGCCTGGCAGACATGTCTTGTGGACGCAGCTACTTTGCAGCCGTGTGTGCAGGTGGGCTGCTCTATGCGATGGGAGGCAGCTCTAACGACCGATACTGCATGGACTCGGTGGAGTGCTACGACCCAGCTGCCAACGCGTGGAGGTGAGATGGGGATGGGAGCGTTTCCAGGCACCTGCGTCCCTTGTCTCCTAAGACGTACGCAAGCCCGATTACCTGTGCCACGATGTATGCGGTCCAGGTGTCTAGAGATCCACTGGGATGAGACCTGGAGGCCTGGGAGGTTACAGACCAAGGTAGCTCTATTATCTAGAGGCCCGAAGGCCCATAAGACATAGGCCAAGGTAGCCCTATGTCTTGGGAAAGCGGGAGAGCAGAAGCCAAGGCCAGAGGCAGGCAGCCTGGTGGCTGCAGGTACAAGCTAAGCCCATTGACACAGGACCAAGGGCTGTTCCTCTTTTCTCTTAATTTCCTTTCCTTCCCTTCCTGTCCACCTGGTTCTGGTCTCTCCCCCTGCAGACCGTCCCACCCTCTCCCGGCTGCGCTCTGCGGCCAGGCTGCCTGTGTGCTGGATGGCACCATCTACGTTTCAGGCGGCTGCGACGGCTCCTGCCGCTGCCTGACCGCCCTGCTCCAGTACCACCCGAAGCACCCACCCACCCAGTGGGCACCTATGCAGGAGGAGCGTGCTGGCCACGTCATGGAGGCTTTGCGGGGACAGCTCTACGTGGCGGGGGGCTTGCGCTGGCGTGACGGCCATGGGGGTTATGCTGACCAGCTGACCTGTGAGGTCTACAGTCCTCGTCTGGACACCTGGACCCTGCTGAGCCCCCTGTCCCATGCCCACGTGGTTGCTGCCTCAGTTGTACTGCAGGGAGAGCTGTATGTCCTGGGGGGGTACAGTCATAACACATATCGTGACACTCACCTAGTGCACAGCTACCAGCCACGCCAGGACCGCTGGATATGCCTGGGCACCCTGCCCCAGGCCTATGCAGACCTGCGGGCCTGCGTCTTGTCTGTGCCACCTGCTTTGAGGGAGGACTCCCCCCCACAGCAAAGGAGGATCTTGACACCACCCCAAGGGGAATAGGAGCCTCCCCAGTTCTTCCCTGTAGGACGAGGGGCCCTGATGCCCCTCAGATGCTCTCGTCCAGTCTACCCACATTATGGGTGTTTTCACTGATCCGCTGCAAGTTGGTCAAAACTGTTCATGTTGCACCTTACTGACCACTTTACAATGACCTGTTTAATCCACCCAAGGCCTGCCTCCCTTCGCAATGGAGCAACCTCCTTATGGAGCAACCTCCCTGACCAGGATTTGTCTGCAGATACTCTCTGGATTAAGGAACGGGATTCACGGAAAGTCACAAACAAGTGTCTTGTGACAAACCTCACTCGTCAACCTGCTGGCTTTGAACTACCACGGCAAAAGCGGTCCCTGCTAAACAGGCTCCGGACAGGCCAAGACCCCCTGTGCAGCCAACCTTCACCGCTGGGGCCTCAGTGCTAACCCATCGTGCACTTGTGGAGAGATACAAGCAATGCTGCGCATCAGCGAGGACTGTCCCCTCTACAAACTTAAGAGGTGGATTAATAACTTTGAACTCAGCTAACGAGGAGGCTATTGCTTGGCTTCGGGGATTTGCACTTGCTAAATGAATAAATAATGGGGACTCTGTCATATGAGCTGAGAGGCCTCTTGGATCCCCCAAACAGGATGGGGCCATCTCCGACATGACAGGGAGATCCCCTACACTCTCCCCCAAAAATGGATACTCTTCCTCACATGTGGGACATCAGCCTGGCAGCACCCCACAGGACTGGGGTATCTCTGATGGAAAAGGAGAAGAGATGGAGATCAGCAGGGGAGAAGCCTGCTGTTTCCTGCTCAGCCGTGGTGTGGGTTGACTGAGGTTGCTGTGTCCAGGGACAAGGTCTGTCCACCCCATCACTGTGGGGCCAGTACCAAAGTCAGTCAGTAAAGAGGGTATGCGATTCATGGTCCTGCCTCGTTCTTTTAAGGGGACCGAGGAAGAGACACAGACACATCCCCAGGGCCCTGGAGCCAAAGCTTAGGACCCAAGACTCCTGGCTTCAAGCCCTGCTCCAACCCGCTAGATCCCATTCCCCCCTCCCGGATCTATGGAGAGAACCCCGAGTTCCCAACCCCTGCATTTTCTGTCACTGAAATGAGGAGCAGCTGATTTAATCTGGTCTTGGCTCCGGTTGGTATCAGTATCAGTCACAGCTGGGGTGAGGCTGGGAACCCAGACACCGGAGACCTATTCCCAGCACCGGGAGGTGGAGGGGGTCTAGTAAGTTGTGAAGGGGGAGGGGAGCTAGATCCTGGACTCCTGGGTTGTTTTCCCCGCATTAAACAAAGCAGGTCTGAGAACCAGGACTCCCTCCAGCTCAAGGAAGAGAGATCTAGTGACACGGGGCAGAGGGGTCAGAGCCCAGATGCCTGGGTTCCCATGGAGGAGGATGCGGAGGACTTCCCCCCTGTCTTGTTAGACAACTGACACCTGAAACCTGCTTCCTGGTAGCTGTTGGAGGAACCCTGGCATGTAACTTGTGGGAGGTTACCCAGGGTGGGGTAGTTCCCAAAAGGCTTAGCTGGCTTAGCCTTACCAGAAGGGCTCTGGGGCTTTTTCCAAGCATGTGGAGCAGGGAAGGGGGAAGAGGCTGTGGTGCAGCATTGCCCCTCGTGACTACAGCTAGCATTGTTGTAGCGTGTGCCACAAACCAGTGGTTCTCAACTTTCTGAAACTCACGGCGCCCCTTCTGGGACTCAAGACACCCCTCCACAACTTCAGTGAATGGAGCAGCACTCCATTTGAGAAACTAAATGTATTTATTGCAGGGCTTACTTCCTTGAAGAGGGAGCTGGCAGTGGGGGCAGGGGAGCAGCTAGGCAAGGACAGCCTGAGCCTGCCCGTATCTGCTTATCTCCTCACACTTCTTGCAGCACCCTTCAAAGGATCTCACAGGACTCCAGAGCACCCCAACACCCTGTGAAGCATTGCCATACTCTCTTCCCTCTTGCTAACCGTGTAGTCACCAACCTGATGTGTCCTAGAGCTTAGAACCAGGACGCAGCTTTGCTCTGTCACTATTAAATTTATTATAAATGTGAAATGATTGGAAACTAGTCATTGCAAATAAACCACTACTGGTGTAAAAACCACTTGTTTACTTTGGTTGCCCTCCTGCTGCGGTGAGAAAATAGCACAGATAAAAGTTCAGAAAGTCCTCCTCTGTGTAGTGTGAAAGCTGAAAGCAGGAGGGCAGCTGTCATCCTGACTCCTCCATGATGGAGGATGGGCCTGGGCACTGTCTGCCTTACCACAGCTGCGTGAAGTTGAAGCGCACCTTGAGCAGGTAGCGCATGCGCACCTGGCACGGGTCATAGATGATGAATTCATTGTAGTTCAGGGTGTAGCCATGGGGGTTCACCACTCCGGTGTCCACAGCGGGTCCTAGAGGGACCACGGTGCCATCCCTGCCACAAGAGAATGACAACAACTGAAATCTTCAGGCCTCACAGACAAAAGCTCCCTGCTTTGAACCCCTTTTTTTTAGTTATATCCCAGACCCTGCTGGAATCCAACTACATTTGCAACTGTGAAGAAACTCCCCCGTGGCTGTTGTGGGCTAAGAACAAAAGGATGTTTCTGAAAGAGGAAACTCCTTCATGCCAAGCCTGGCACAGGTTCCTACAGCAAGCTCAGTCTATTTGCACACAGAACTTGGCTGGGAAAAAATGATTGGGGGGCAGGGGGGGAGAGGTGCGTAGTCTCTCTCTGCTTTCCCCCCACCGCCAAAAAAATTCTATAGCGGGTAGGAGGGAATTTAACTTTCCCTCTACATTCTTCCCCTTAAAAGGTGTGCAACAATTGTTTGATTTTTTTTTTTTAAATAGAAGTCAGGCTGAAGACTTCTGCATCATGGTACGAGCTCCTGTCAAAGCCCCAAAGTTACTAGTAAAAGAATAAATGTTACTAGTAACATTGAAGTCCCAGCTCTTCCCTGGATGCTGGTAAATGTGGTCATAAAATAACTGAACTACTACCAAGATTTGGCTACTAACAAAGTCATGGTAGAAGAGCTGATCTTAGAAAAACAGCCTTCAGAACAAGTGCTCACAGGCTGCTTCCATTTCAATGTAGATGGGTGCATAAGCAAAAGCAGGTTTGTAACAACAGGTTTGTACTTCAAGAGAATGAACTTAATGAAGTGACCCAGCTGAAGATGTTAACTGAGCTGTGGCACTTGGGGCCTTTGAAACTGGTGAATGAGGACTGGAGTCTCTTAAAGAGAGTCCCAGGTGCTGAAATGATCAGGAAACTATATCCCAAGCAGGGGGCAAAAAAATGTGGTCTGAAGGATGACTATCCCCTTCAAGGACGGTAACAGAAATAGTCTCTCTGCTTACAAAGAATAGATGGAAATGGAAGGAAAAAAAAAGGGTCATGGAGCATCAGGATAGCAAGAACTGTTCAATGTTATTTGACCCCAGCAGTCTTCCCTGTCCAGAGCAGGGGGGCTGGACCCGATGATCTCACAAGGTCCCTTCTAGCCCTAAACTTCTATGAATCTGAATGTCAAACTGAGTTTGATCTTGCAAAGAATGCTTACACAAGAAAATATTCTTCAGCTACATAAGCGAGAGAATGCGGAAAGCAGCAGTGAGACCATAAATACGCAACGAGGGTGTGGTAGACAGTAAGGATCATTTTGGTACGACTCCAAAAGCAAGTGTTACTTTGTCTGTTTTCAGTCTGGCGTGAATGATGTTGACCACAGAGGCCAAGGCAGAGTGGATAATCAGACACATGTACAGAAGTGACCTCAAAACAGGCATGGCTGGATGCTCCCCACCCTAAAATTCTGAAAGCATCAGCACACCAAGTGGCAGGTAGATCTATTACACATGCTCAGGGAGCAAATCTATGGGTGTCAAATGATATGGATAGAAGGCCCATTTTAAGAAAGAGGACGCAAATTAACAATCCAGGTGAGTACAGGGCTGTTTAGTCTGATGTCAACAGCATGCCAGGCTTTGAAACAAGTTCTGTGGGAAAGACTAAAAGAGATGGAGATAAATGGAAGAGGGGATAGACCGACCGCATGCGGGTTTACTATTGTGTCCAAGTGACCTAATGGCAGTTTTTGAGAATATAAACCAAAGATTCTAGACAAAGGAAATGCCTACCCAAATACCACGTAGGAAATATCTACATGGCCTTCAGTCAAGCATCCAAAGATGGCAGCACCTGGGCGACCTTAGTCAAACTGAGGATTGTTAAGACAACTCAAAGTGGGCAAGGCACTAGCTACACGGGTGGTGGTGGTGG